GTTTTACATTTTTTCCTTTGGTGGGGAAGGGGGAGGGGGAGGGGGAAGAAAAGAAATTTAAAGTAAAAAATAGCTCGCATGGAATGTAGTAGACAATTTATTGCACTCACATGCATTTGTTTCTGCAGCCGATTAGACTGGCTAACATTAGCAGGGCATGCAGGAGTGTAGATGCTGTAAGGGTCAATGTTTCCAAGTTCTGCACTAGCAATGTCTAGAATATTGTCACATGAATTTGATGTGTGTATAAATGACTGGAAATCACAAAGAAGGTTCAGCGACTTGTATGTTTGATCAGAAATCAAACCAGCCGACCACATAAACTGGAAAACCCCCAAATGATCATGATAATCATCAGTCAGAGCATTGCCCACCTGCATAACACATACTTTGTTATTTTAATGTGTTTACACAATGTACAATATCCCCAAACCTTTGTGATAGAAAATCACCAAGTCTATACCATATAACCCTTCAGATTAATTGCTTTTTCCTTAGTTTCCAAGTTGTACTTCACAATTGCTTGACTTAGCTGAGGAACATAATGTCCTGGTACACAAGTTTTGGGTGGTTAAAACTAGAATACAGAACCAAGTCGTACAAAATATACCAAAATACAACACAAGAAATTCGAACATGCATGAATAAGATAAATAAACGTAGAGCTGCTACTGATTTTGCATATGCGTTGTTAGGCTTCTATCTCAAACCCCATTCCTCTTGTCCTGAAACCACTAACTGAAGTCACTTTCTAGTTGTTACAATATCCAGACTGAAAAAGCTGCAATTCTGTAATTAGTTTTCTTTTTTAATGGTGGGAAGGGAGCCCTGATGAGGTTGCTTTAGTCAACCAATGTTCCGAGTGAACATGATATACTGCATCCCAAAGCAATAAGTATACTAAGAGAACCAAATGATGGGAGGTAATAATGTACCACTCCTCTACCTCACCAACATACTAAGTAATAAAAATAGAATAAAACATAAAATGGAATGAAGTACTCCCTTTACAACACACACGCAAAGACATGAGAATAGAGATATATTGCATTTAGTTTAAGTTTTACATGTTTACTATTGGAAGGGCAAAAGGTGAATGACATAATGTAAAAGCAAACAAGCAAAGTAGGTTTGTCTACCTCCATAGCTCTCTCCAGTGATATAAAATTCTCTTCCCTTGTACTGGGGAAAGCGCTCAAACCATTTCAATAGAAATGCTAGAGAGTCTTCGGCTGCAAAACAACATAATTATAATCTAATGTGCATAATAAGCTAACAACGTAAATAGCTCAAAGCATAAAAATGAGACATGGAAAAGTACCCGTTCTTTTATCTCCATTGGATAGCAAATCAGAGGAAGTGTTTGAATAAGAAAAACCAACTCCAACAGGTGAATCGAGAAATAGAATGTTAGCAACTGCAAAAAGGTAAAAGCAATTAGACATTTTGTAAAGAACTACTAAGATGTGGTTTTATCATTCTAAAAATATATTCTACAGTCACTGTGAGTACCACGCGTGATGCAGTGGAATAAAGCAACTTCAAGCATAAAGTAAGAGATAAACAAGAGAGACACAAAGAAAAAGGTGCATGCACGCTTGCTCAGCAATCATGTGCTTACTGAGAGGAACGCATATGCTCATTTGCTAAGATGCTTTTAAACAAGTAAGAGAACAACCCATATGAAGCACTAATCCGAGTAAAATGATGCTATAGTCCTGAGACCTATAATTCACATCAAGTTTTTTTTTTTTTTTTTTTTTTTTTTTTTTTTTGGGTTTTGTTTTGGTTTTGGTTTTGGTTTTAGTACATGGGGTATTGGGGAAGGGGGATCTCGAACAGGGGACCTCAGGTGCAGGGGTAATGACTCTTAACCACTTGAACTCCAAGCCCCTTACATCCGCAACAAGTATTATAAAGGGGAACTCACATATATAATTGATAATACACATCTTGAAATATTTCTCACATACACAATTCACACATAAAACAACCTGTAACCTCTGGCTGGTATCTTTTTATATCTGTTAAGTTTTGGCTGACATAATTCATTACGATAATTAAAACGAAAAAATCCTAATAACCTCCTCTAACAAGTTATGAGAAGCTTCTCACCTTGATTCCAAGAGTAAGGATTCAAATATAGGGTCTTCCCGTCTGCCTTAATATGAAATGGACCAACTTCCTCTGCCTCCCCATAAGCAATTGATGAACATCCAGGTCCTAAGGAGGTGAGAAACCATTCAGAAAGAAAAAATTCTAAATCAATAAAAATACCAAATTGGGAAACAAAACAGTAATAGCCAAAGAGCACTCGAGAGATAAATACAAAGCTTTCATAAAACGAAGCAACCATTAATAAACGAATAGGAAATTAAGCAAGTTTATTCGATCACTAGAAAGATTTCTGACCGCCTTCAAAAAAAAATTCCAGAAATGTATTCCAAATATTACAGAACATAACACAAATAGTAAACAAAATGGACGGACGTACTACATTTAACAGCAAGAGAAGTCAAAACAGCACTATCACAAAGATAAACGAGAAGCTTATGCAAAAATTTGAAGCTCAACCTCCATTTAGCCAGAGAACAATAGGCTTAGAACCAGGGTCCTCAGCAGCTTCAACAAGCCAGTAGAAGAGAGCCCTCCCAGAATCTTCATTGACAGTGGCATACCCAGCATAGTGTGCAAAGCTCAGGTTGAAGGTCTGACCAGGCAGCTCAAGAACTTTGTCCAATTTCTGTTGGGCAAGTGCGTCTGTGGGAATAGTTGCAAAAACACTGCCCAGATGAAGGTTGAGGAGGATGATGAAGTAGGTGAGAACAAATGCCCAACTGGGTTTGACCATTTTTGCGGTTGAGAGAGACGGAGGAGGAGGGGGAGGGGGTCAATAAAAGAGTGCTCCTGAAAACGCTGGTTTTTGCTAGTTTTGTAGATAAACCATCATGGAATGTCTCTATCTCTGCAAGTCTGACCTGTGCAATAACAGTTTTAAAGGCAACAACTAATATTAGAAAAGGCTACCGAAAATGGTACACCAAAATTATTTCCAACTATATATGTCATTTCCAAATACCTTTCTGTTTCGACCAAAAGAAAAAGGAAACCTTTCCGTATCTGAGTCTTCTTGTCTCTAATCAAAACCTTTCTAATAATTCTAATTTAACTTTTGGGGAAAAAAGTACCTAACCAGATCAAATTTTATTGAATTAGTCTTTGAAATTATGATGTATGGAAAGTGATGGCATGTTTCGTTCTGCAAAAAGATAAAACAAAACAAAACATGATTTGTTATTTGTGAAAGCTTTCATTTTTATTTAGGCTTATTTATTGTAGTGCCCTGAAAATTTTGATCAAATCTTACTTTATCATTTAAAAGTTAAAATGACTCACTTTGCCCCGTTAACAGATGTTTTGCATCTCAATTTACCCCCACCGTTAAGTCAGTCAAAAACTCTACTAGAAATGCTAACGTGACAAGAATGAGACCCATAATTTTGTTAAATTGGATGCCACGTAGGTGCCAAGTGTAAAAAATAAAAAGAAAGATTTTCTTTTAAAAAACTTTAACTCAATTATTAATAATAATATTTATAAATAATAAATAAATAAACCCAATCCCCTCCTCCCTAACCTGTTACGCATCTACCCAACCTCTCCATATCCCCAAAGGTGGCCCCATCATCCTTCCTCCTCCCTCTGCAACTAACCATCACCCCCAACATCATCCATAAGCACCCAAACCCACCACAAGCCATGCCCCCATCAGCCTTCCTCCTTCCTTTGCAACCAACCACCACCCACCATCATCCATATCCACCTAAACCAACCACAAGCCATTCCCACCACAAAAAATACAAATAAATAATAAATAAATAAATAACAATGCACACATTTGTGGTGGGGATGGGTTGGTGATGAAGACGGTGGCATGGCCCTGGTCTTCAAGATTTGGATCTGGTATTGTGGATAGGTTGAGTTTGCGACGGATCTAGGATGGCGGTTGGGTTGAATCCTCAGCGAATCTGAAGTTTTGGGTTGTCGGATCTGGAGAAAGAGAGAATGGTTGGCTTGGGGTTGGGACGCTGGGATGGAGGCCCTTCCTCTCCCCTCTGCCTTGAAAGCCCAGCCAACCTTTTACACCATCATCATCAAAATCACAATCATGAAGGACAATCATGATCTAGGCAATATTTTAAGGCAATTCCCTATTACAAGGAGACCACATTTTATAGATACTAGGTACGAAGGGATGGGGTGGGATGAGGGAGGAGATCTGTTACTTACGACGGTGAAAGGGTGGCGAGGTGTGGAGAAGACGGTGTTGCTGGTTTTTTTAATTTCCTGTTAATTTTTTCTTTTTTTTTCCTTCTATTAATAATAATTTTCTTTTTATTTTTTTACACATGGCACCACCATGGAATCCAATTCAAAAAAATTGTGGGTCTCACTCATACCACGTCAACATTTTTAACAGAGTTTTTGACTGACTTGATGGTGGGAGGTAAATTGATATGCAAAATATTGGGCAAATTGGTAAAATGGGTCATTTTAACTTTCAGATAGTAAAGTGAGATTTGACCAAAGTTTTAAAAGATACTCAATAAATAAGCATATTATCTATCGTATAAAGAAAAAAGTTTTATTGGTTGGGAGTCGGGAAACTGGTTTTGAAAAAGAAGTGAACAACATCCTTATTCTTATAAGTTTTATTGGTTGGTTTGTCTCCAACAGAATTAGCGGGTAAAAGATAACTGCCGTGTAAGCGGATGAAACTTGAGAGACCCAACTTGCCTGGTTGGCTTTTGAATAAACAAGCATCCTTATTCTTATAGTATGTACGGTTTACAGTTTACTTTTAATCAACTACAAAAGGAAAATAAAAATAAAAATTTGATATCTCATCGGAAAATCTATGACAATGTGGTTGCTTAGCATTTGTTGATTGGCGTGGCGTGTAATGAGTCACCTGAGAATAACTTTAAGCTTTTAAGTTTTCAAGTTGAAATCAGTCTAACTATAACCATACATTGACTGCTACCAAAATCTGTACATGACGACGGATTCCCCTATATATCCACGTTGGTGCTTGTTTGTTGGCATCAACTGAAAATTGAATAATTGTTTTATGCAAGATGCACAAAACTCAGTTCAGTTCATTAGGATGAAACATAACGACTATGCTATAATTCTGCACAAAAGGCCAATCACCATATAGTGCATCTTCTTAGAGAATCATCAGTTAATTAACTCAACCTTCATTCACTGCTAAAACAGCTCAGATCACATTTCAAGCTACAGCATGAGGCTCTAATGGAAGCAGTGCCTACTGCTAGAAAATATCAACCTTTGTTCTTTGTTGGCTGCTGAAATATCAACATTATGCTTCGGAGAGATCTACACTGTCATTGACCGGAATTGTTGATTCAGGAGATGACTCTTGGATTCCTTCAGTATCAGACGGTTGAGATTCATGCTTTGCAGCAGCCTGCAATACCCGGTTTTTAACATCTGAGGATGAAGGAGATGTTGGTAGTCCAATGCCGTTTGATTCCAATTTCCCAGCAGCCCACGAAAATGCCTGAGCTCCAACTCTAACAGGCGCAAGCAGCAGCCTTCATGGAACATAGAGACCACAATCAGACCACATTTTGAATCAACAAAATTTATATTAAGCAGCATTTGGCTGTTGATAGGACTCCAACAGCACTGTGAAAGGTGCAATCTAGTGTTAAAAGGACAATCTGTCACATCATTTCTTCTGAACAAGACATTAAATTCACATTTAAAAAAATGATAAATTTTGTGGTTTTACCTGACATCTTGCTTAAAATCTTCAGCATTCTCATAAGTTGCCACCCGTCGGTAAATGGTCTGGTGTAGTCAATGAAAAGAGCAATGAGAAAGGGGAAGAACCAGAGACTATATGAATTTCTTAAATGTAAGTTTCTTATCAGTATTCAGTTTTTTTGGCACAAATGCCCACCCCTATGTCACTATGTGAACTTAAATAGAATTCAGCAACTAATCCAGACTTTTTATCATTTGACATCTACCATATGATAGTTATATTACTGAACAACAAACAACCGGGGACAGAAACAAATCAGACATTCCAAAAACTTTAGGAACATGTTGAAAATTTGATTCAACATAAACTGAGATATGGAAGTAAATACTTTGACTTAAGCACTCATTCTAGGAAGATTCTCATACCTGACCAAGGCCAACAACGCCAATCAATTGCAATGTCTTCTCCCACTCTGAAATAGGATGGATCATGCTTAATTAGGAAAGAAGAAGAAACCCCAAACCAAAAAAGAACAGGCAAATGAATACGATAAAATTTTACTGCCACTCCCCATCTTTTGAAACCACCCTCTTTAAATAAAAAACCCTAAAATGCCAACTTTACTCTCCACTAAAATAAAATATAAAACAAAAATAAACAAAAATTAATAGAAAAATAACACCCAGCCCCAACCCCTCACCACCCGACAGCCACCCATCCCATCACCTCTGTCGCCGGCAACTACCCTTTCCTCTCTCTCTCTCTCTCGCGCCAGATCTGTGAGGTTCTGAACGTTAAATATTTCCCAAATGCTGAAAAAGAAGTTGCAGAGGGTTTAAATGCAGAGTATTTGTACACCATTTTTGTCTCATGTGCTTTACATCTCAATCTCTCAATTCTAAATCTAACATGGGCTTTCTCTCACTTGGTCACAGAAGCCAAAGATTGGTCAGAAAGCACTCGGAGAAAAGGACATTGGGAGAGGAACCATAACGAGAGAGAGAGAGGTGGCCGGAGTGGGCCGACGTCGGCAATGGAGATGATGGGGGTGAGGTGGCTATCAGGTGGTGAGTTGGGGTTGGGATTTTTCTTATTGGGGAAGTGGGGTAAAGCTGGAATGTTATAGAATAATTTTAAAGAACATAACATATATACTCGCCTAATAGTGCATACGATGCCGCAATCAGTCCCTGTACAGAAAGTAATTGCATTTATTAGTACAGAATTGCACTTGAAATTTCCTGGGAATCAAACATTTTTATAACATACAGAAAACCCAAGAGGTCAGATAACCATTAGCCTCTATGAAATCCCACTCATCGTCAATCTATCCTGATGTGTTTCATAGATCATTCTGAAGATATTTTGATTAAGTTGGAATTTAAGGTACCACACAGGCAATTTATCTTACCACACCATACCCAAGAACTTGAGCTCGAGAAGGATTGATATTCTCCAGAATTGCCTCAGCTTCCTGAAATGATACAATTTTTGCAACTGTGCTTAAGTGAAAAGCTCAAACGTGGTATTATGAAAAGAGAAAAAAAGGAGAAAACACCATTAGAACTTAAAAGAAGAAGCAGCATCCGAGTGATAAATACCTCATTGAGTATGGTAAGTGTCGTCTCAGGTTTGAGTTCCTTAATACGAAGACCATGTTTCACCCAAGACTGAAAGCCACCTTGAACCAAGTAAGGTTTCTGTCATTTTAAACATCGCCAGGTTATTAGTATCTAAGAAGTTGCTTACCAATTCCAGAATACCAAAAATTATCATGCATTTGAGTGGTTCTCTTAATATTTGGAACATACTAATTTCCATAATAAAAGTCCTAATAACTTTAAGTAATGAGAATATGAATCTTTATCTTGCATTACATACTTCAGAGTCCTAATTTACAAACCAGTTACTCAACCATCCACATTTGCTAAATCATCATGTTGAGCCCTACTAATGGTTGTGAAACAACTAATGTACCTGTTATTTAACTTTGTATGAATAAACATTTACTTATTATCTTCTCAGTAAAAAAATATATATGTGCTATCTTTTCTTATGAACAATAATGTATCTACGTTAGTTCCAATGCGTCCAAGATGACCATAGGTCTTTCAGTATAGAGAAAAAAAACTAATAGATATATAGTTCACTCCTCAGGCTTTTCATTTCCATGTCTTCTGTACGTCTATCATTAAAGAATCATCAAAGACTTGCTACTTGCCTTAAGCCCAAGCTTTCTCAAGGATCTTGCAATTCCTTTGGAACGAGTACCATCACCATCCATAATAATGACCTTGGACCTGTCCTACACAGAGTAGAAAACAATATAGACCTCATTATTCATTACTCAAGCCAATCAGGGAAAAATCAGAACATGGTGCATGATAGAGGGATCCTGGAGAACCATTATTCATTACGAAATCATCATATTTTCCCATGGTTTTAGGCAACAGATCCTGTTGTTGGATATGAAGTTTTTAAGCATATGACAAATCAACCAAGTCCTTGGACAAATATGGTAATAGATCTAAAGTCACCAGGCTGGTGCTAAGAACTTGAATATGAATGTTCTTTATAATTAGCATTTTCTTTCTCGCATAATTGTGGGCCAAGAAAATCAAATAGTGATTGAACTTCTTGAGATGGAGAAGATTGCAGGATACTTCCAGGTCTCCTTGGTGACCAATTATGGTACTAACACCAAAGCACGGAGAGTTGCTAGGTCCCAGTCCAAGATCTTCCTTTGAACTTTTAGCTTGGTATAGTTTTAAGCGATATAAAGCCTAAAACTAGTTACCTGAACAATCTTCAAGTTCCGAATAACAGCAGCAGTTAAGGTATCATCAAGATCTTTTCCACTCTTCAATAACTTCCATAAAGAGCCATCAACCTGAAAAATCATTAAATAATATTGAAAACAAAATTGCAGAAAGTGTATGGAGCTAAGCTCCAGAATACATCATTACAACTGTTTTAGCATAACCCCAAATCATTAGTACAATATGGCTTCTTTCACCCTGTAAAAGTTATGATACAATTGTAAGTCATATTGTCAAATAACATGCTAGTAATAAGCCAACCTCAGGTAGAGTCACACTTGCATAACGAAAGCGAGCTGTTCGTCGAAGATCAGGAATACCCTCTTTTTCTCTAATAACCTTCACAAAGGAAATTCCAAGAACCAATCATTGGCAAATTTGAGAAGCAAACACTTACAAAGAATATTTCATTATAAGTCTTATAAAGGAAATACCAAGGAGCATGAATTTGAACACTGGAGGTTGTGTCTTTGGGCAATTAAAAGACTTTTGGTTGTTTTAGCCTCTGTTAGGCAAAGATTTTATAACATTATCAGCTCAGCCAAATATAAAGGCCAACAAATATGCAATATCTTGCCTCGGGTCGGACATCAATGAGCACAGCATTCTCCTTCCCTGTCAAGAGCTCCAATGTTGATTCAGGAGATAAATCTCCAGCATAACCACTGAATGTCCGCACCAGATAAATGACCCTGCAGCATATCTGATAGGAAATATAAATTTCTCACACGGCAGGATACTTGTATTCCTACATGTATAAATAGAAAAGGAAAAACAACCTTCAAAGAACAAAAGGATATCCATACCATAAAGTGGCTGAGGTGCCAAGGAATATAACAAATGGAATGATTGGATCTTTTGGATCCAAGCCAAGATTTTCCTCCAACCCCTCAATAGCAATATAAACCTGCTTTCAACATGTTTAGATTCAGTTTACAGAATATTATTCAGAAAACTGTCATTGTAATAGGAAAAAACTCAGCATATACATGATTGAATAGATAATCTAAGCTTATAATGGAAAGTTTACTTTCTAACGTAATCTGTCAAACAGAAAATACAGGACCACTATAACAAAAATGGGGCTGATGTCTTGACAAAAAAAGCATCCATTCACAAATTAACCAACCAGTTTTTTTATGTAACGAGTTTCAAAGTTACGAAATATTATGAATTGTTTAGAATAACTCTGGAAATCTGGAAACACAATCAATTTTTATTTTTTCACTGAAGATTACTATCAACTCTGGAATCATTCAAAAGCATTAAGCCATGAAAGGGAAGTGTATACCAAAGTTTAAAAATACCTGTTGAAAAGCACTCTTGGCAGGCCCCAGGAACTCTGCTGCTCGCTTTTCAGACAAATTTAGTGCATCACTAACGTCAGGAGGAAGAAAGTCCTTGGCAGACTGGTAAGAACTAACAACAAAGGAAGCCCCACTTGATAGAGAATCCTCCACCACAACAAATGTACGTCTCAAAATATCAATAGCAATAGCAGTTCCTTTACTTGTGGCTTCCTTAAAGTCGCTTGAAAAATTTGCCATTTTACTGCCACCTAATTGTCCCGTTTGATCAATTGTTGAAAACATTCTGCCAACAGCATTATCCACTGCTTCATTAGCACTTTTAACAACAGAAGATACTGATGAAGTGATTGCGTCTAGTGAGCTTTTAACAGAACTTTCTCCCTTATCGACTGAAGCACTGAAAGACTTACTAACCCCATCAACAAAATCCTCAATACTAGTTTTCACACTGGATAATTGATCACTATCAATGTCTAGGGAGTCAGATGCAGAGGTGACATTTTCTGGTGTTAAATCAGCAGCTGAAATGGATTCAGGTTCTACGGGTCCTGATAAAATACTTGCATTCTCAGTCGACTGATTAGTAAAGTCCATGAGTCCCTCATCAGGGGCCAAAAGGCTAGAGCTTTCTACATATTTCAGTTCCACCATTCCCAACGGATGTTGTTTATATAAAGTTCCAGTAGAAGAACTCCACATATCTGAATACTTGCAATTAAGATAGTCTGATTCATTTGAGCAGGAACTCCTATTAACAAAATCCATGGAGACTGATTGTTCTGTGCTTTTCACAAAGTTAGAATACAAAGACTCTGTAGCATGTGCTTTGAAGGAATCTCTTTGGAAATGCATTGCAAATGACAAGCCCAGAGAGCCCCTGCATTCCGCAATGTATCTGGCCTCAAAATCCTTCTGGAATGGGGAACTGGCATGCAATCCTCCATGTAAGGAAATCTGTAAGATCCATTTATATACATGTAAATTTGAAATTGGAAATTTCATAATTAATATTGACCCAAATGATGACATGATGCAAAACAAATTAGTTGTTTTTAATTCTCAAAAAATAATGTGGTCATACGCCAGCAAGCTGATGTTCATGTGCTTATGAGGAAAAAAACCCAATAATAACTTTACTTGTGGCTCTACAGATTAGAATTACACAAATCATGAAACACAAATAACTCGCTAAGATGATATGAGGAGAGAAAACAATGCAACCACTTATTATTTTCTGTGAAAAGTACCTAGACGTTTTCATTGTTCTTTCAACGGTTTTTAATTTTGACTAGCTATTTATGTTCAATGGATAGTAGCCAAGTTTTCTGATGAGACCCATTGATTCATGGAATTAATTAATAAACCTTGGATGAACAATTAGCAACTTCATTAATTGTTCAGACTTCATAAGAACGATAGATACAATTAATATATGGGAACTTAAAAGGTTTCTTTGCACAGAAATTACCTGTATATATTAGAATTTAGAAGCAAAATAACATTGAAGGATCACAACTCAGCATGTAAGATCTTACCTGGGAATGATAAGAACAGCTTGAGGTGGCTGAGCAAACAGGCAACATTGTAATGTGATGTCAACCAGCCCAACAAAACTCGATTGCTCAAGAAGAAATACTATCAAGTTCCACCGACACTAGCTAAAATAATCCACCCTATCAAATGGGATTTTACCAATTCAACAAGTTACGAACCATTGCATCAAAATGGGAGTTTTTCAAATATAGTTACTTCTGTAGCTTCTCCTCAGTGAGATCTACAGTATCCTGAAAATGGGTTTCAATTTTGTCTTACAATTATCCAATGAAATAATATAGATATGATGATATGACAAGGAAAATCGTGTGGCTTGTTGTATCCGGTATCTTCATCGCCTTTGGCACTCCAGCCTCTTCTTTGCCTCTCGTTTTTTGGTGGGGACATGCTTGTCTTTGGAATTCTTGTGGGGTTTTGGCGCAATGTCCCTATACTTTTCTGTATTCATTTTCATCCCCTCAAGTTTGTCGGGAAGGACCTACCTGGCGAATCTTTGACGGGAACCTATGGCCGCGAAAATATTATCAGGATAGACCTCTCTGTGAAAATTTATCGGGATAGGCCTACCTAGTGAAAGTTATGAAGGGATAGACCTTTAACATTATGTCGGGATAGACTTATGTCGGCTATCCCGACGAATATTTTGTCGGGAAAAACCCGACATTGGCCGACACAAAGTTCACCAGATAGATCAATCCTGACAACACGTTGTCGGCAAAGGTTGATTCCGTCAAACTTTGGCTGGGAAAGGTCTATCCCGGACCCCAAAAAAAAAAATTATTGGGAAAGGTATGCTATTTATCATTTTTTTTAATCCCTAAAATTTTGACCAAAAACAATCCCAAAAATATTTTATAATATATTATTCCTATAATTTTTTTACTCAAGTTAATAAAGTAAAGGTGTACTCAACTAACTAGGGTTAGGTCCGGTTATGTTGGACCAACTGTACATTCAAATCAAAACCCTAGGTCGAGTTACGAGAGTATCCAAGCCTAATCGAGTCATAAGTGCCCTAAAGTAGGCTTATGGTTAGGGTTCAAGTAGGAATGGTAACAAGCTAGGTAAGAGTCGAGTATGGCAATACCATCTTCATCCCCGCTCCTCATCCCCGCCCCCGTCCCCGTCCAATCCCCGATAAGAAACTTTCAGGGAATCCCCGTCCCCGTCCCCGTTCATTAGCCATAATTTTTTACACCCCACTAAATTTTAATAAAATTTCAAATTACTCATTATACCCCCTTTTTTTTTCCTAAATTGCCCTAATGAACCTCATTCCCTAACTCACTGTGTAAACCTCATCCCATATCATACACCACCTATCGAAAACCCTCTTCCCTTTCAGACACACATCCATCTGAAATCAAACCCCACCCCATCTGATATCAAGCCCCACCCTATCTGATATCAAGCCCCACCCCATCGAAAATTCCCTTCTCTTGAAGACACACCGCATCAGATTTACAGCAAGCTCCACCGCACACCCCATCCCCTTTGAAACAGAGTCATCGCACAACCCATCTCTGCAAACCACGAAACCTCATCGCACAACCTATCTGTGAAAACCCAACCCATCTATAAAACAGAGCCATCACACCCCCACAGCCAACCCCAAATGCCTCACCCCGTCGCAAACCACCATCTCCTCAGCCATCTCAAGCATCCATCACAAATTTGTCAAGTTTTCACAAATCCTTCGAAGAGCCAAGGTTTCATTTCAATTTTGATTTCTATATTTACGTTTCTAAGTGTTGATTAAGCCTATGTTTGATTTCACTTTTGAAAAACCAAAGTCTAATTTTAATTTTTGATTTCAACTTGGTGGGTGTATAGTTCGAACCTGGTTTTGCGAAACTGGATTTTATTTTCGGTGGATTACCACCGAAATGGTTACATTGCTTCAGTGGTAGTCCACCGAATTTGAACATGATCTGTACATTTTACTTTCGGTGGGTTACCACCGAAATTGTTACCTTGTTTCGGTGGTAGTCCACCGAATTTGTTTCTAATTTTCAGGAGATTCCCACCGAATGTATTTCAGTTTTTCAGTGGTATTCCACCGAATATGTGCTTTTTTTTCAGTGATAGTCCACCGAATTTGTTTCCGTTTTTCAGTGATCATCTACCGAATACGTTACTGAGTGTGTACTTAATATTGTTTATTTTTAGATATGAAGATGACTCGCAGACGTACTACTGAGGCTTCATCATCTCCACTGAATAGACAGCGTCCCACGGCCTCAACAAGGAGACAGAGAACGGCTTCCCCAGATCACTTTGAGGATAGTACAGAGGTTGAAGATGTAGCTCCTACTCATGTGCCCATGTGTAATTGTCTTCCTTCTCGGCATTCATATACACATACGCATCAGAGAATGTCATATTAGTATATGTCACCCACACAATTTGCAATAGTGAAAAATGATACATATTAGTCTTATAGGTGCAATCCATGATAAATACATGTGGAAATGCATGCAAAATATCAATATTAATGGGGTGCATCCAAAATAGGTCAGTTAAAATATCACCAGAAGTCCTATGCCACTCAATATAATTGTGTTCGGATAACTTAGTAAGCAATTATTGCATTTGGGTTCTCCTAGCAAATTCTTTGGTTCTATTTCGGATCCTAGCATTGTATATTGTCTTCATAGTTGAAACATTCATTGCATCTCTATCTTTAAGGGTGACCAAAATATCTCTGAGTTTCACCAAACTCTTAGACATGTCCACCAACAAGGCATTCTCCTCTTCATAAAGTTGCCCCACAAATGAATGACCTTGAAAATACTCTGAAATAAGATGGTTGTATACTCCACAAACCTCCTCTAACTTTCGATCATCCCCATCACCAATATTGATACCTTTTAACAAGAATGGGCATCCACATTTCTTGGTACCAGTGTCCCTAGCATATTTTTTCATATCACTATTTGCATCCAACCTTATATCAGTTGTCTCACTAGACTTGCAAGACTTATAGTTACCATTCCTCTCACAAGCAAGTATTACACGAGGTCTCCTCTTGCTCTCACCTCCATAATCAGACCTTTTAATTACAATGATAATATTATTCATTTTTCCTTGTGCACGAGCCTATCTAAGTAATGCATCTCTAGTATTGAATATTTACACATAAAACTCATATTATTTAAAAATAAAATTTGAAATATTAATGCCACGTTAATGATACTAAAAAGGATTTCAGACAAATAATTACTGAATAAGTTGTGAATTGATCACTATAGTCTATTACATTATGTTCCCACATTGTTGCCTTCAGTAGAGGCGTCACCTTGTTTTTGTTCCTTCAATAGGAGTAAGATCAAAATAGCTTGCATTAAATTTGTGGTCGGCAATAAGTTACTGAAAAAATAAATAAATTCGGTTGGATGCCACTGAAATGCAGGTAAATGTTTGGTAGTGAACCACTGAACTACATTCCATGTTACAGTGGATCTCCACCGAATATTAAGTTCATGACTGGTCAAACCCAACCGAAAAAGGTGCAACGTTTCTGTGGCATCCCACCGAATTTACCTGTCGCATTCGGTACTGATGTGTTGAACGCAACAAACAACCATTATGAAATACTAAACTTGCAAAATGCCAAAAAATAAACTCGTACCTCATTCAAAGCCTCTCTAACTTCAATCTCACCATTCATGAATAAATACAATATATTTTTTCACCAATATAAACGTATAAATCTAGGGTTTAGGGTTTAGGAACATGATAGTTTGAGAAAAAAGTCAAATTAGGGTTACAGGAATATATGTGGGGTGTAGTGAGCAATTTAATTTTTAATTTTTAATTTTTTTGTCCTTAACGGTAATTGTGTACAAGGGTAAAATAGGTTATTCATGTTTAAAATTAGTATGGGGTGTAAAGAACAAATAATGGGGTGCCAATAAAATCTCTCTAATATCATATTTTCCTTACTATCCCAATAATAAACCACTGAAAGAAAAGAAAAGAAAACATCGTAAAAACAATCTAAAATGTGTCTTTTGTTTTTTGGGTAAAATAAGGCTTTTTCAAAATTTAAATTCAAACCCAAAAGCCCAGTTGGAGAAAAGAAACAGAACCAAAAGTTGAATCATGAGGCAATTAAATGAATGAAGTGTATTTTAATAAATAAAATTAGAAAAATAAAAACTAGTATTTTACATGATATGGTATATACACATCAGCTGCCACATCATGTGGTATAAAATTGTGATATAAAAAATGTGGTAAGACTAGTATTATTTTTATTGTTATGTCAAACTCAAATGCAACAAAAAAGCCGTCCTGGGTGAGACAGAGAAGAAACAATCAAAACCCAAATCTTAACCAAAATCAAGGCATCAAAACCAAAACTTATTAGAGCCTAGAAGAAGAAGAAGAAGAAACAATCAAAACCCAAATCTTAACCAAAATCAAGACATCAAAACTGTGAGTGATAGACAAAGAGAATAAGTAGGAGATAAGAAGAGGTATATTATATAATGTATTTATTAATTTTAAAATTAATATATTCTGATAGACTGAGAGAATAAGTAGGAGATAAGAAAAGGTATATTATATAATGTATTTATTAATTTTAAAATTAATATATGATATTGGGCATGGTTCGGGGATGGAGATACAAGTACCATCCCCAGCCCATACTCGTTGGGGATTTTTAAAATTCGAGGGTTCTCGTACAAGATCCTCATTTTGCTATGAAATTTCCACTGTTAGGGCTGAGGACTAGACCCAACGAGGATTTTTGTCATCAATCTTGAGGCTCGAGAAAGATTTTGGAACAAGTTCAGAAGCTAAAGATTTTGGTTCGAGACTTGAAATTAGGGTTTGGAGGCTAAATTCCATTTTTGGAATACTAAAATAATTTTCTATGATTTTGAAATAATTGAAACTATTTTTAAAATATATTCAGAAATTAAAAATAGTTTTAAGGTCCGTAAAATTATTTAAGATAAATAAATATAATTATTTAGTATTTATTCACTAAATATTATCGTCATTAATATACCGCTGGTTAATTACCAAAAAATAGTTATTTTCTTGATCTGGAAAAATAAAAGTTTCCTCTATCCTTTTGTTCAATACGGAAAAGAAAAAATAAATAAATAAAAACAAGTCATCGTTTATATCTTGCTCTCTATGTTGCTCTGCGCATTTGACCCAAAAAAAAAATGTTGCTCTGCGCATAGAGACTTGATTTTTCTGATGACATTTGGTAAGAAAGGAGAAGTGATGAGTTCTGCAGAGCTGGCAGCATCGAAATAACGCTCTCCACTCTCTAATGGTCGAAATTCTGCGGTGCGTTCAATAACCATTTCTCTCTCTCCATCAGATCGAATTCCTCCAGCATCGCGCAATAACAAAGGAGATCTCATGGAATCACCTGGTCATCTACTTCAGTCTTCAATAATCTTTGATGTGATTTATCGCTTTTCAATTTTGAATGTGATCTTGATTATTTATTTTGATTTTCAACTTGCATATTCTTCTC